GCAAAGTCCATATTTTAAAAACTATCATTAGGCCTAAGTGTTATCTTCCTTAATCCAATAGCTTAACCAACTGAGGAATAGTTGACTTTCTGTAGTGCTCTGTTTGTCCACCAGGATCCTTTAATTCATTAATTCTTCTCATATTTGTACTAGTTCTTCTCATATTTTGAACTGGGTAGCATATTTCTGTGGCATCTTTGATGAAGAGTTGGCAGTTTAGGAGGCTTTATCTAGGAAATAAAGCTTAGTTCACACTATCAAGTTAATGTGACAAATATTTGTCATTTGTCACATACAAAATGTCAGTGTGGACAGTGCCTTATTTATTTATTTTCTTTATACTGGATTGCTTTTTCAGTAGCATAGTACTGCTTTTCAAAATGGTCCAGTTACAAAGTATAGTAAAGTAAAAAGTAGGTAAAGTAAAGTGAACATACAGACAGTAAAAAAAATGTGCAAAGGTAAAACTAAATCACACTTGAATTAATATAGATGGAATTTTTAAATTCATTAAAATTGTTTTCGGTTGCAGTAGTACTAATTTCAGCAGGTATATTTTTCCATTTTTTTTAGGCTTTGGAATTTAAGTTCCTATACCTTGAACGTTTTCCAAATGAGGTGTTATTAATTTTTAAAGATTTAAACGTTTTCCAAAAACCGAAAGGTCCACTGTTTAATTACAGTTAAGAAATATGATAGATACTCGGAGTATTGAAATGCACGCCATTGTGTTGGGATTCCATATTTCAACAATAATTATGTCATCATCAGCAATGAAAAATTATCCATATTTACAAGCTTATATGTACCAAAAGTGTTTAATCAATAACATAACAGTGATGTAAACTAAACATTTGTTTTTCTCAAACAATTTAACTACTATCTTTAGAAAAATTCCTTCATCATCTTCATTAACAGGTTTAATGTTGTACTACCCCAATGCTAACTTGTTTTTATCTATCTTTTAATTCTATCTTACAATAATTTTCTCTCATAAAATAATTATCTGTTTTTATTATGTTTACTTTCTGTAAAATGAAGCACTCCTCATCCCTAATAGCCCCACAACTGCACTTATCAAAATAAATTTCAACTTTCTGGCTGTGCTTAACCATTTATTATTTGTGCATAATTCTGTTAGTTCTTAGGATGTGCGCGGGTGGTACACGCTCCCCCCCCCTTTCAAAAATAAAAATACTTTCCCCGCCTCCCCAGCCCTCTCCAAAAAAACCCCTCAGATCACCTTATTTTGCCAGTTAGCGCCCCCTCACCTAATAATCAAGCCCATCATTTTGCCTTCCAACCCCTCCCCATCAACCCCCTTCAATTTCAAGATTCCTAGCTAGGTACACCACTGATATTAGAGCCTGATAGTAGGAAAAGTTTGTTAGCCTATATTAAAAAATTGTGTTCTATAGTACGTCAAAATACAAATGTGTGTTCTTTTTTATACTGGCATGGTTATTTTATTCTCTTTAAAAGAATTTCTATTTCTGTAATTTTAACCAATTTTAATTTAGTTAACACAAGTTTCTTCTATACCGGTAATATGTATTCAAATTTATTTTAACTTTAAAGTCAGGCTCCGGAGGAAAAACATTTTTTGATATGTTGTAGAACTGATTTTTCTAAGACAGAAAAAAGTTGTTTGACGAAAAACTGGGTAACGGTGAATGAGATACAGATTTTTTAATATTTAAAAACTGGGGGAATAAGGTGTAGCAAAATGGGCAGTTACGCCCCTTTTTCCCCCAGTTTTTAAATATTAAAAAATCTGTATCTCATTCACCATTCCCCAGTTTTTCGTCAGATAACTTTTTTCTGTCTTAGAAAAATCAGTTCTACAACACAAAAAATTTTTTTTCCTCCGGAGCCTGACTTTAATCAGTGAGCTTAATGTCTGGCAATACAAATTACCCGATCACCAGTGCAGGTCCCAATTAGGCTACTGTACAGAGATGCAGTGAGAAGAAGAGCATGTGAACATACCCTTGGAAGCAGTGCTTCCATTCCAGTGTTAAATTGGCTATTCAAACGCCAACATGCGGTTGGCACAATAGCATATTTAAGCTTTATAGGGTATGCTGCAACTTCCATTGACTTACTTTCTGAAATTGAAAACCAGCCATGCAGAAATTCTAAGCAACTGAGCATACACTGCATTAGGCCTGGGTGTGACTTATTCTGGATACTAAAATAGGCCAAAAATTGAAAAAATAAATTACTATTCCAGTGAACTGTAGCAATCTACTTGAAAAATTAAGGTTTGTATAGAAGATTACGGACAAGAAATGCTATTAGAAATAGAACAGACAAACTGTACAAATGTTTATTTATTTCTTTAGCCAGGGTATGCACTGCATACCTTGCTTGCCTTGACGGTCTGCCACTGATTATAATGCTTCAATTTGACAATGTTATGCTTTTCCTCAGCTTTTATGTGCTTGCTATAGGTAAATCTTCTTGCCTAACTTTTCAGATAGCAATTGTGATCCCATTTGTCAGAATGGAGGTGTCTGTAATATGGTATCAAACACATATGTTTGCACATGTCCCCCTAGTTACTCTGGTGCAGACTGCACTGTTGTAGAAGGTGAGAATCCAATATCTGATGCTCATTCAAATTCACTATCACAGTATGTGGTGCACGTTCTTTGTTAGCCGTGTTACTTTAACACTTGAAACTAACTGGTTCACACTTCCCTTATTCTTTTTAAATACAATTTTCTTACCTACTCATTTATTCGCTTGTACCTGTTTACCTACCACCTTACCATATTACTTACTAGTAATATTTCTTTACAGTTTGCATGGCGAGGATCAATAACAAAAACATTCAAATTTCGGTATACCATGTGTAAAAATATAGTTTTTGGGGCAAAAGCATTGGTTGGTTTTCTGGACGTTTCGGTGAGATTGCTGTAGTTGCATCTGGAAAACCTCTACGGAACCAGTGGTTTTACCTCAAAAACTATATTCTAACACATGATGTACTGAAAATTGAATACTTGCTTACCTACTACTTTACCTTTACTTTAATTAATATATGATAGTAACTACGTGTCGCGAAATGCTAGGCCTTTGGAAGTCCACCAGTGGTATTTGCCAAGTTCTCAGAAATGTTCATTTCAAATTTAGCGAAAATGGTGTAGGATATCTCTCCTTATTGACTTGGTAATTTTAATAGTTGATGCTCAAGGAATGGTATTCTTCAACAAGCAACATTTTTTACCCTTTCCTAACATTTTTTCCTTAAGAATTCATGTAAATTTTTCCCTTCAGTATTTATCTAAGCAAAATGTGGTAATACATTAATATACAAATTTGATTATCATGTAATTTCAGTTTGTATTATTATTAATTATTGTTATTACTAAATGTTATTATTAGTGGTATTATTGTTATTGTTTGCTGATTTGTGTAATTTACTACTATCATTAACCATGTTGTTACTAAAATAATAATTTTAATGATAAGAAAATTATATTAATAAAGTTAATACTCATTAATTAAATTGTATTGGAACTATGAATTTCAATAAAATTGTATTTGAATATGTTGATATGTAAATATAATACTGTAATAAGAATTATAAATAATAATAAATTATGCTGATAATATTTATAATACTAGTTGTTATTAAATAAAACTACTAGAGCAGTCATTTCATAGAATGCTTACCTCCTGGATCCTGAATACAGTACCAACAAAACACTGGATGTGTATGATGGGCAAAACTGCAGCATACCCTCAAGAAAATGGTGGAATCATCCATCCTATTCAGACACATGGTTTTCTTGAGTGCTGCCTGTTATGCTTGAGCGTACAAAATCAAATTTCCTTGACCTTGTCCTTTTACCTTTTCTTCTGAAAATTGAAAGTTGTCTTTCTTTAATTATTATGTACCATTTCACTAAATTTTATGATCCATTCATTAGTTTCTGCATAATCTTGCTAAAACCTGGTTTCATTAAAAACGCTGTTGCTGCAGTGTATTCAGTGCAATTATTTTATTGAAGTAGCAGTCCCCGATTTGGCCAACTAATCAGTATCACCTGTCAGCTGTCAGTGATAGCTTGTAGCGATTGTTGGACCTGGATCCACCCGCCTCCCCACCTGTTACAAATTTTTAAAGTGCCATAATCATAAAATTACTTATTTCAGCCCCAGCCATGGTGGAGCTGAGGTGATGTACACCCTCCATTTGTGAGCATTTCTTCCAGGGCCCCCTCTATTTTGAATTCCTGGATCCCTGAATTTATTGCCTGTACCATTACCAGGGCACTGATAAACTTACAGCACAGTTCCTGATCTTTTTGTTGTCTATTAACTGTATGTCATCATAATATAAGATGATAATGAATAAAAAATAATTCTAAGTTATTCAGATAACTTTACTAGCATAACACACAAAAAATAATGCTGTCATGAAATTTGATTACCTTGTTGCAAAATAATGATATTAATAATGACAATCAATAATAATAATAACAATAATAATAATATAATAATAAAAATAATAATAATAATAATAATAATTAAAAATAATAATAACAATAATAATGATAATAAAAATAATAATAATAATAAAAATTATAATAACAACAATAATAATAATAAAAATAATAATAATAAGCTTAAGCCTTGTCCACACTATGGAAATTTTCTTTGACAATAGACTGTTGTATGCCCATATATAGTAGTCATAATGCGCCTATATATTGTCATGATGAGAAATTTGATAGTCTAGACAGGGCTATACAAAAGAAAGTATTTACTATTTTCTAAATATGGACACTAATTTTTTGCTTCATTTAGTATTGGACACTCCATGTGCAAGCAATCCGTGCCCAGCAGGTCAGGAGTGTTTCTATACCGCCACAGAGTACCGCTGTATGTCTGGTAAGTGCATCGACAACACCTTTCTCCCTTCTAAATTTTATTTCCTAAACACTCGAAAATACATCCAGTATCTGCATTTTCCCCTTTTACTTGAGAATACATGCATTCAGTTGTCTCCATACAAATTTGTTCACACTATACACATCCGTTGATTTTATCCGACAGTGCTTTATAAAACTACATATCTACAGTACGCTGCTATAGCTGGTATACATGATGTCACCATATTTTTTGTACTGTAGATAAAGAATTTTTAGTAACAAGAGGTCACAAATAGTACATATATTTTATAATATAGGCATTATATTTATACATGAGATTTTGGTCCTTAAGCGCGAGGTCACAAATAGTACATATATTTTATATATAGGCATTATATTTATACACAAGATTTTGGTCTTTAAGCGCGAGAGTGCGAGACAGACCCAAAATATGTGAGTCTTACACCGAATGCGTGAGACTTGGTATGTATGTAAACGCAGGCTCCCATACAGGCTTATCATAATCAATTTTATTTATATAATTATTATATAATTTATATTAACTGTTAAATTTACTTGCAATATATGTAGGCTTTCAAAGGCATAACTGCTGATAAATCATTCTATATTCTATAATCATTCTTCTATGTTTCATTTCTATATTTTTTTTGTTTTTCAGGAACAGGAAGAAGACGACGTAATGTAAATGGTAGGTTGTTCACCCGTTTCCAATTGTTTCTGGCTAGAAACTTTATTTGATAATTATTTTCATGATTTTAATTTAATTTGTTTTCCGATTATTTTTGGCAGGCAGTATTTTTTAAGTGCTATAATTATAATGCAAATGCAATATTTTATAAAATACAGGAACTTGATTGAAATGGTGTCCTAAATAAATATAATTTTTGCTTTAATTATCAATTTCCAATCAACAGGTACTTGTGCATGTGTAAACAATGGAAGGTGTATGAATGATGGTGATGATAATTGGAAGTGTCTTTGCCCTCTTGGATTCAGTGGAGTTCTCTGTGAAGACAGTAAGTTCAATATATATATATATATATATATATATATATATATATATAGTAATTTTGCCATAAGGAACTCCATTGTTAAAGTTTCTCCTTATGGTAGGAAATAGTCATATATACATACATACATACATATATATATACATTTATATGC